GGGGCCACCTCAGGTGCAGCACAGCTCACTCAAAACCTGCCCATGCCATGGCAGAGGACAACCTATGGGTCAGGCAGTGGTGGCTCATCCCCTCAGGCCGTGTCTGGACAAACCACACAGACTCTTCCTCGGGGCAGTCCAGGCGTGGGAGCAGCAGAGTCCTCCTGGAAACGAAGGGGGCAGCAGAAGCAAATGAATGGAGGCACTCAGAAAGGCTGCAACGTTTGAGAGGAACCAAGGTGCTCCACAAACGAAGCCCTGTGAGGCAGAGGAGAGGGGCTGGAAAGCAGACAAGCCTTGGATGAGACCTTCTCAACCTCTGTCAACGTGTCAGGGTTCTCCTGCTGTGCCACCAGCCCGCAGGAGCTGCTGTGCAACACCTGAGATGTTGGTATCTCCACAGCCAAGGGACAACCCTCCCTGCCTGCCTGGAGAGGCACCGTGCTCTTCATGCACCCAAGGGGAAGAAGAAAACATCTCATGATGTTCTACCAGGGTTTTTTCTGTAGAAAACCAAGAGAGGACTTTGCTGGAAGAGTCTGGTGACTAGAGATGGAATCTCCTGAGCACTGCAGTTCTCCTGGCCCAGTTCTAGGCAAATCCTGCCCAGCAAGCAGCCCATGAGCACAAGAATCAGGGTTAAAACATCTCCCCTCCTGGAATTTAATGGTCACGACTTCACACGGGGTCTGTCTGGACTCCACCTTGGCTTCAAGAGGACTCCTGTGAGCCTCCTTACATGAGATCCCTTCTTGAATCCCCTTGCAGATGTATCTGTTGCCCCAAGGAAGAGCAGCCCACCTCACATCCCTCTTGCTCTTGCACTCCAAAGCCAATAGAAGTCTTACAAGAAGTTGGCTCAGCTTGTGTTGCATGATTACCTGAGTTCCATCATGACCTGTGTTCCACTATGACCTGAGTTCCATCATCACCTGAGTTCCATTACCTGAGTTCCACCATGACCTGTGTTCCAGTATGACCCGAGTTCCATCATCACCTGAGTTCCACCATGACCTGAGTTCCACCATGCCCTGAGTTCTGTCATCACTTGAGTTCCACAATGACCTGTGTTCCACCATGACCTGTGTTCCACCATGACCTGAGTTCTGTCATCACCTGAGTTCCACCATGACCTGTGTTCCACCATGACCTGTGTTCCACCATGACCTGTGTTCCACCATGACCTGTGTTCCACCATGACCTGTGTTCCACCATGACCTGTGTTCCACCATGACCTGTGTTCCACCATGACCTGTGTTCCACCATGACCTGTGTTCCACCATGACCTGTGTTCCACCATGACCTGTGTTCCACCATGACCTGTGTTCCACCATGACCTGTGTTCCACCATGACCTCAGTTCCATCATCCCCTCAGTTCCATCATCCCCTCAGTTCCATCATCCCCTCAGTTCCATCATCCCCTCAGTTCCATCATCCCCTCAGTTCCACCATGACCTGAGCTCTGTCATCACCCGAGTTCCACCATTAACTGTGTTCCACCATGACCTGAGTTCCATCATCACCTGAGTTCCACCATTACCTGTGTTCCACCATTACCTGAGTTCCACCATTACCTGAGTTCTGTCATCACCTGAGTTCCACCATTACCTGTGTTCCACTATGACCCGAGTTCCACCATGACCTGAGCTCTGTCATCACCCGAGTTCCACCATTAACTGTGTTCCACCATGACCTGAGTTCCATCATCCCCTCAGTTCCACCATGACCCGAGCTCCATTGTCACCCCATTTCCACCACCACCCCCCCAAGTCCCACCCTTACCTGTGACCCCAGACACCCTGGAGACATCCTGAGCCTGGGTGGAGCGGTTCCTGCTCTGCTGCCTGCGCCTGCTGGCCGCTGACCTCGTGGTCCTCACGTGCACCTCGCTCACTTTGAAGAAGGCCACCATGAAAGGCTGCTTGTCGTAGGGGCCATCTCGTCCCACAAGACCTGCTTCCCTGGGAGTGATGCTGAAGCCTTCAAAGCAAAGAGGAAAATGAGTGTTAGACAACCTGGGCAGGTGGGTGGCACCTTCCACCACCACCCCATCAGCAGCATCTCCTTTCTTCTCACAGTCACAGAATGGTTTTGGGTGGAAGAGGTCTCTAAGGTCATCAAGTTTAACTGTTCCCCCAGCACTGCCAGGTCACCACTAAGCCATGTCCTTCAGCACATCTCCACAGCTTTCAAACCCTTCCAGGGATGAGGACCCCACCACTGCCCTGGGTGGTTCCATGGTTTGACAACCAACCTAATGCCCAACCTAAACCTCTCCTGGTGCATTTTGAGGCCGTTTCCTCTTGTCCTATCACTGCTCACACTCTTTAATCACCAAACACACCAAACATCCCCCTCCTGCCACCATGATTTAGGACATCTTAATGACACCACCCCATCCATCCCGGAGAAGAGGCTCCACCACAGCACCTGCTCTTTGGTGTCCCTGTGGCACCTCTACACTGGTTTAGGCACTGAAGAGGTGTAGAAGATAGGTACCTAAAACAACAAAGCCCAGATGTGTCATGAAATTAGTTCTGCTCTCCATGAAGGACCAGAAGCAGAGATGGGATTGGGAGGCCTCCAGGGCAAAGAGTTGGGGTGTCCTACTCAGGAGCACAGGGATGGGCTCTCAACCCATTTGGGGAAGTGGAGACTGGCACCAACCCATCTTCAAGGAGAACATTGGACAGCCCCCCTGGTCTCACCTGGGTGTACATGAGGTGACAGGAACCAAACATAAGCCCCACACATCAACCCCATCACTTCTCCAGCACAGAGCTCCCACCTCAGGTTTGATGAGATCTGAGTAGTGATGGCTGCCACAGCAACCAGGAGGGCTGCCACAACCCCCGTGGGGAGGCTCATACCCCTGTCTTCTCCTCCTCTCACCCCTAAACCTCACCCCACCCAGGATCCATGCCCCCTTCCACCTCCAACCCATGAAGGGAGCTCAACCCCAGCCCACCTCCACCAGCCCCTCCTGGTGCTGTTCAGAGATACCTGACCTCATGGTGTTGACACCCTCATGGTGTTGTCTACAGCCTCCTACAAAAGCAATCTGCCCACCCCCAACATCACAACTGGCCCCTCTTAGCACCATTTCTAGACAGCACCCAAGTGACTCGTGAGGTGACCCCCAATAACTGACCCATAACCCACCATCTCGGGTCACCACGCTCAGCTGCAGTCCCATGTTGTGCTGAGGGTTCATCACCCACATGTTGCTGGTGGCAGTGACATCAAACTCCAGCCAGCCCTCCTCCGAGGCCCACACCACCCGTGTGTCCAGCAGGAACAGGTCAGAGGCCCTGCAGAGGAGCAGAAGGATGAGATTGTCACCTCTGGCATTTTCCCTCCAGGGGTCATTGTCACAGAAATGAAACCTGAAATCCTTCAAAGTGATGTTCATGGCTAGGACAAAAAAAACCCAACACCCAAAATCTGTTTGTATCCAGGGTTTTGCCACGATGTGCTTCTGCAAGTGAAATTTAGGATGAGAATGGGTTTCCACCACTTCCCAGGCTGGAGGAAAGGAATTCTTCTCCTCACATCTGCCTGTTTCTCTACCAGCAAGGACTCAGTAAATCATTCTTCTTCCTGGAGAGCATCATGCTAGCCCTAGAAGGACAGCAGTCCAACTGCCAACATTTCCAGCCTCTATCAGAAGGGTTTCATGGTTTCAGCCCACCTTCCACAACGCAGACCCACCACAGCTGACCAAAATAAAACCCAAAAATCCACTAACAGGCCAAGCACCAAGCAGTGAAGGAAGATGAACCTCTAAAGTCCTCTGAAGACATTTTTCTGAGG